TCCTGAAAAATATTTGGGGGTGCTTAACTTTTTTCCAGGTGTATATATACTTTTCATTTCACAGTATTTGCTTTTTTTTTTGGTCATGACATTTTGATGTTTTTTTTTATAAAAATATGGCAAGTTTGGTACCTAGATAATATATATATGTATTAGTCAAAAATTATTGTTTCTAAGTTATATAACATTGGTGTCAGTTAATGCTGCTAACATCCATGGATTGGAGTAAAACAAACTTGAAATTTTTAAAGTTGTTTTCAGGAGTTAATAGTTTAAGATTCTTTTATAATGTGGTTTAGCCAGTTTCTGCTTACTTTTATCATCATTTTGTAATTTGACTCTCTTTAACCAAATTCCTTATAATAAAGAACAGCTAAGAATGGATATGATGAGTTGTGTAAGTACTTGTCAGTTGTGACAGATACAAATTTATGTGCAGTTTCATGACATTTTTTGGAAGTACACCATTCATTTTTGTGTTAGATTCACTAGGACTCTTAAGTGGTTCATGCCTTGTTAATTTAATAAGTCCAAATGTCTCTCTTAGGAAAAGTTTAATAAAAATTACAAATATAATAAACTGTGGTCACTTACCTTTGTTATGTTTAATGTATGACATCTGTTTTACATGGACATTACCCTGACTGGTTATGTGTCAAAATGTGTCTTAAAGTAGACTAAAGAGAAACTGTAAACTAAAGTTAACTGTTACATGCATCTCAAGGTCTGACTTTTGCTTATGTCTTACTGACAGGTCTCTGTCTGATTGTTTTATGAAATTCAACTCCACCTATTATTCCAAATACTCCCCTTTTTATGTAACTATGTAACAAAATCTTCAGTTACATGTTCAGTCAGTCTTATCATAAAAGCAGAAAAATTTTAATAGTGCCATGTATATGTTAGAATAGATCAAACAAGTGTGTTTTAACTAACAGAGCTTAGCTAACAAAGTACAAAATATTGTAGCTAATTCAATACAAAAAATTTCAAGGACAGGACAATCACTGTAGTTTAAAAACATGCAAATCCATTTTTGTATAACTCTGTTAGTAAAATCCATGTTCAATAAATCTTGTGAGGGTTCAGCAAGTGTACATGTTTCATGTACATATTAGAATAGATGAAATAAGTGTTTCAACCTATATAGTTTAGCTGACAAGGTAGAAAATATGTTTAATTAAATCATTTAATGTAAAATCATTCGTATATCTTACGAGAAATGTTGTGGACCATTTTTTAAATGATTTCTTGTTATATTGTGCTTAACGTTATCTGTTATGCTTCGTCCATTTTCATTTCTTCACCCCTGCATAATGCATCACATTCTTGAGCAGAATGTTTCTGAAAGGAATATGAGTTACTTTTTTTTCACTGTTTTTAGGTTGCTACATGGCTCCCCCTTATGTAGACGAGTATGGTGAAACAGATCAAGGACTAATGCGTGGAAACCCACTCCATCTATGTAAAGATAGATACAGAGAACTTCATCGCCTGTGGCTTTCTCATGGAATACCAGAACAAGTGTCTCATACTTTAGAACAATTTCCTTTTCTTGCAACCACAAATTGGCTGCTTATGTAATAAACAATTAATGTATAAACCACAATAGCCTTCCTTCTTATATATGCATTTAAAGGAGATGGTAATTCTGCAAAACCTCTCTCAATAAGAAGGCTGCTGTACTTGATGTCTAGAGAGAGATTCTAGTAACCTAAGATATCAAGGAAAATGTGATGCAGCAGTGTACATACAACTCTTAGTTTTAAAAAGTTAAACAGTGATAAAATAAAATGTTTTTATCAGCAACAAGCAGGGGTAAGGCCATCAGTTGTTTACACACAATTAAAGACATGAGACTATGAAACCTGTAGAGTAACTTCTTGTATAACATAAAAACATGTTTGAACAAGTGCAGTGGTGAATCTTACAACAACAAAAAAGTCATGTTCGTTATTAATCTTAATTAAGCATTGAAAATAATTTCTTAATGTTTATCATTTATTTCACTTATTTGTTTAGATTTTATAAACAAAAAATCAACTCCAGTAATGTGAAGGTTTGTGGTATGTGATTTTGTACTGGCATGAACACCTCTACATGGAATACACTTGTCACTGATAATTTGGCTTATTACCACTTACATCCAGTTTGAAAATTTCCCAAGTACAATTTTCTTTTCTTCCCAAACTAGAAGAGCTTGATATCCAGCAATATAATAATACTTTTTAATAGTTAGTCAAACCCCCTCTGTCTTTATGGTACTCATTATAACATTATACTTTGTTTTCAAGTTTTAATTATGACATGAGATGCACATGCTAGAATTATCTTTAGATTACCACAACACGGGTTGACACCTTAGACTTATCATATATTTATATATGTAGGTAATTTTGATTTTTTGAACCTTAGTTTTTCTAGACAGTATTTCCCAGAATAGTTTATATAAACAATATAATCTGATGAAGTTTGTATCAATTTTTTTAGTTTTGGGAAAATGACAGTGAACATGCACATTCATGTCAAAGTAAAATTCAGTATAAAAGATTATATAGATTCATGGTTTTTTCCTACATTATTCCTCTGGCTTAAATACTTGAGTTAGTGCTTTGTACTGGTACTATTGCACACGAATTTTGATATGTTTTGTGGCTGTCATATTATCTTTCAGTGATTAATATTTTATATGTTGTGTCTAACTGAATAGAGAGGTGCTTTGTGCATTAATATAATAAAAATAGACAATTTAGTATGTTAAATTTCATAGTTACTAAAAGTTCTGATCAAACTTCACTATTTTAACATTTAACATTGTGGTAAGTTTTGAGATGATTATTAATTGGTTAAATACTTTAATTGCATTGTTTTTGTGTTGTTATTTTTTTTAATGACATTCGGATTCTAAATGTCCTGTGTTTATAGTTCTAAAGTGTTTTTTCTGTTTTAGTAAAGTATATGCTTTTTAAATTCAGGTATATAAAGTTGTATAGATATTTAGTCAGTACAGTCTCTGTGTTCTTTATCTATGGAAGTTTGTGATTAAGATCCGGAAAAATGTATTTAGGTAAAACACTATAACTATAGACACATTAAAGGTACAAGTATACCAGTTGTAAGGAAAAGTTGTATGTATATGATAGTCTGCTGACAAATGTAAAATAATGACAATACTAATGTACAAATACATATAAGTAGCAAAGTATATGCTTTGTTTCAAAACTATTCATGGGCACAGTTTTGTGTTGAAAAGATGGATAAAACAAAGGAAATGATTAAAAATTGTTTACAGATATAATTATTTAAACAATGTGCCCAGACAGTCCGTTAAATGGAACTTCAGTATACTAGGAAAGTAAACAAGTCTAAACATTACTGTTTTCAATTAAGTGTATAACTAGTTGTTGTTGTTTTTTTGAAAATATTTGAATGTTTGGATATTATAATGTTTTACTTGCATTAAAAGATACTTAATGCTAAAATTTATATAAAACAAAAACTTTGTACAACATAAGCTGCTTGCAAGTTATGGTTTTTGAAAAATGCAGGTCAACTGGAACAGATTTACTTAATGCAGTGTAACATTGTCGTTTTTATTGTTTAATATAATAATGTTTTAATTTTTGATTAATTGTGAATCTCAATCTTATTTTCAACTTCATTTTTAATCGAGAATCACGGTTGTTTAAAATTTTGGTCAGACAATTCTTTTATTTGTTTATCAGTATCCAAAAGTACAGTTACTTTACAAAGATGTCTTAGTGCTAAAATGAAAATTTGTGTCATTTTAACACCATAAAGTGTTTTATACATCATATTCTTTGAGCAGCTTAGGGTCTAATTATAGTAAGCTTCAGATTGAGCAAACATAATGTGAAGCTAGTAATTTTCCACGGTATCTGACAGATGTGAAACTTGCTTTTGGTTCAGAGAAATGCATGAGAAAGTAAGTACAAACATAATATTTGTGATTTACTTTAAGAGTTTTATTTTTTCTTCATAAAATAGTTGTATGAGAAAGATAATGATACCCATAATCACTTCTCCCAATCATATTTGAGAGTTTTTGTACAATTTTTATTGTAATTAATACTGACAAATGATAGATGTTACTCATATTTGACTTGAATTTTAGCAGATACAATGAAATAAATTATTGCTCTGTCTTCTGTAATCTATTTCAGTGTTTTTTTATATACTTGATTTATACAACAGGACAAAATAAATGAAGCTGCCACTAAAATGTTACAGCATTGTTTTTCATTCTCTTGTTCAACAAAGAGTTACTTCAAACTGATCCAAGACAATCTGAATTTACCTGTGACATTTTTTATACTTTATTTAGTCTTACAGCCTCTAATTACATTGTTTTCAGTTAAGTTTTCAGTCAAACTTTAAAATATTTCTAAGTGAAATGCCATTCATTTAAACTTTGTCCTCAAGTGGGACAGCGGTAAATTTATGGACATAACACTAAGATACGAGGTTCAATTCCCCACAGGGGACACAGCAGATAACCCGATGTGGCTTTGATATAAAGCAAACAAACAAAGTTTTTCTGTTACATTATAACCCTTGGCTTTTTAGAGTATGGAAATGGCTTAATGGGTCAAAATCTAGTATGCAGTATTTTAATATCTAGGAAGCAAATGCCTTTGAATTAAGTAATGCCTATTCAAGTGAAATAAAGTTTAGCAGTTGTATATATTTATTATAAATTTAACACAAACAGTTACATGTGCTTCCTTTGTAAGCTAAAGAGTATAGTCCAATAAAAATACCAAAACGTACTAATTGGAAGAATCTTTTCCAAAAACAGAGTGACTTGTTGTGGTATTCATAACAATTTGATAATTGATAATTAATGTACAAAACTATGGATTGCCGAAATATCCTAAAATTAAGAGTAAATATAGCACCTTAACCCAGTAAGGGTGATGGTGAAGATGAACCCTTTGATGAAAGAAAATTTTTAACTATGACATTTTAGACATAAAATACATGTGGGCTGCTTTTTTGTACTATTTAATGTTTAGAATGCTTTGAAGGTGAATCAAACACATAGAACCAGATATACTTCCGCAGGGTTCCCAGAAGTGTTCCGTTTCAAGAGTATATAAAACCAAAATTAAGAGTAACAAATATTTTTATTTTTTAAGTTGATATGCCATACTGTGTTGTAGTCTACTAAGTGCATAATTCTTCTCGTGATTCATGGCATGCGCACGTGAAGCGGCCCTTATATGACGTCGTTTTAGTGTCTACTAACTGACTGACTAACAACACTACTGTATAGTGGTGCAATGACCCCTTCCTGGCCTCCTTGGCCCCTTTCGAGCACATTATGTAAAAGTCCACGGAAAATTTCAGCACTATCCCTCACCTGTATGTTGACCATCGAGAGCCAACTTGCTAATATGCGGTCTGTCGGCTAAAAAAAAAGTCGGAAATCTTAAGAGTCTTTGAAGGACTGTCAGTTCTGGTTTTTCTTTTGGTATTTTAATATCTATTGAAAATTCGAGTGCCTTACCAATCTTTTCTGTAACGTCTATAATATATCGCAAATATTATTGTATATATAAAAAAACACGCCCTTTTAAATGAAAAATTCACTAAAGACTTTCAGACGTCAAGTAAAAAACAAATCTTAACTATTAATGGTTGGAGACGGCTTGAATGGGTAATGAAGAAAAACTTTAATATAAGTTTAACATAACAACAAATGTACAACGTTTCGACAAGACTTCGTACCTGATGATGACAAAACTATTAATGGTTGGAGAAGGCTTGAATGGGTAATGAAGAAAAACGTTAACATAAGTTTAACATAACAGCAAATGTACAACGTTTCGACAAGGTTTTGTCATCATCAGGTACGAAGTCTTGTCGAAACGTTGTACATTTGTTGTTATGTTAAACTTATATTAAAGTTTTTCTTCATTACCCATTCAAGCCGTCTCCAACCATTATTACTCTCAAAGTGGGTTCCTCGTCATCGAATTTGAAATCTTAACTATATAGCAAAACTGTTATCTATGATGATCTAGAATGATTCATAGACAAAGTTACTAGATGCAACCTTTTCTAGCAACTTTGATTAATTGGAACCAAAAACAACAACATAAGTATTATAACAAAGTGTAAGAATGCAAAAAAAAAGAGTTAAGAGCCAGAACCCTACTGCATAAGCGCCACAGTTGATTGTAAAAATATATTAAACGGTAATGGCAGGACCTAAATTTATATTCAAAACTATACGTAAATTTATAATAGCTCTACTAGTTTGAAGATAGAAATCTACAATAAATCATTTCTTATTTAATAAAACTCAATGGGCTTGGTGGTTAGGGAGCTCGACTCGCAATTTGCAAAGTCGAATTTCATCACCAAATATGCCCGGTCTATCAATCGTGGGGAGGCATTATATAGTTACAATCAATCCCAAGAGTTGGTGTTGACTAGCTGCCTTCTCTCTAATCCATCACGTATAAATTAGGGACAGATAATGTAAAAAGCTATGCGAAAATTTCAACAAACAAAATATAAAAAAAGTGAGATGATTAAAAATTACGATCCCGAATATTAAATAGAATCGTAGGTTTGGATCACACGTATTCTTAGTTTCACATTTTCCTAAAAAAATCTCAAAACATTTAACTTTGCACGGTAGTGCTTAATCTTAAAGTTTCGACATCATACACAAAATTTTACTAAAAACATATATCCTTATAAAATCGAATTCCAAAAGCCGAACCCATATATAAATCGCAAGATCGGAAAAACCTATCAGACCAATCGTTCCAAAACTACATATCTACGAATTATAACTAAGTTTAAGTTTGTTTGTAATTAAGCACAAAGCTACACAATGGGTTATCTGTGCTCTGCCCACCACGGGTATCGAAACCCGGATTCTAGCGTTGTAAGTCCACAGACATACCGCTGTGCCACTGGGGGCTGAATTACAACTAAACGTACGCTTGAAAAACAAATTTCTAACAAACATGATAAAAGGTAGAACAATAAAATACTTAATGGTGTTATTGTTTGTGCACATTTCAATGGTCTTTTTCCTTAAAGAGTTTTAGAATTTGTACCGAGAGTGAACTATTTTAGACAAAATTATAACCTCCTACTAAAATATTGTTACGTCTCCTTTCGTTAGTTAATTTTCCGTAAATTCTTTCCGACTAAACTTTAGCGACACAAGTCCTTTGTTAAATAAAACTGGTTTATTCTTTCCGAATACAACTTTATGATACACTTAATTTCAACAGTCGCTCTATAACAAAGGCTATAACTCACGTCTCACGTGGCCAACAATATTCTGTCCGCATACATTCAATTACTCATTACCCTGTTTCCCGTCACGTTGTGAACGTCTTATATATACAAAACTAACACATGTCTAGTAAATGCTAGGGCATTCAAGAAGGAAC